AGGTCTTTTCCAATGTAAACGATTCCATGATTCTATGATAACCAAGGGAGAGGGACCCTGATTGGATACATCACCCTTTAGGTATCTACAGACTCACGCGAGTCATCCCACCCTTGATGCCTGGGGTTGGTGGGATGCAGCTCACCTCACCTACGGGACTGCTCCGGGGGGAGACGTATGGACATGTGTATCTGCAATGGGCTGACATAAATGCAGGGCACAAGTGCCATTTCCCGCAGGGGTCTGGACTTGCCCTGGTGCCCACATTTAAGACAACAAGGAGCGATCCAGTTCTCTGTTGTTTTAGTGCCGCTGAAGCCTCGCTCCCTGTGTGGCCAGTACAGATGGACGCACGTGGTACAGACATCTGGTCTTGGTGCAGAGCTAATCATCAGAACCTCAACGATCCCTCCTGACCTTCAAACACTCATGGAGAGGCTCTCTCACCCCACACAATGCTGAGCAGTAAAATTCAGTGCTCCAAGGCACTTACCTCCACTCTGTATCTACTCAGCACTGGCCGAATCCCCAGTGGCACCGGCAGGATGGGGCCCCGGTCCATGTCTGTGGGGCCATCAATTGGGGGGAGGTCTGACTTGCCCCCAGGGCCAATCTGGAAGAGATGCAGTGTGGATTAGGATCTGTTCCTCTGAGCCCAGCTGCTGGGAAGCAGATTTTTGCCTGTCTCGGCTGTAACTGGCACACCTTGGTCCCATGAACTGGGGCTGTGTCATCTCAGAAGGTGCGGGAGCACCAAGGGGTGCTGAGCATCCAGCTGATGGTACCACGCAGGTACTTTGGGAAAAGGCACGCATGTGAGCAGAAGGTGCTTCCACACAGGACAGACCCAGCAGCAAAGCACACTTCTCAGCCCACCAATGCATCCTGACCCCAGGGCTGCTCCTTTTCCTCCTGCCAGGAGTTGCATCTGCCTGGGGTGGGTGTGAAGAGCTGCAGAAATGGTCCAAGAGCTCAGCCCTGGTTCAGGTTTAAGGTCCTGTTTTCAACCCAAGGCATGAGGGAGATCAAATATCCCATTTGAGCCAGTCCATAAACCACCCTACTGCAAGGAAAGCCCGGGGGGAAGAAAAGGTCTTGGATGAGCACCTGCCCTGGCAAGAAAAGGAGACAGGAGAAGCACCCTGGGGAGTGGGACCCCAGGCTCAGCAGCAGCCGGCAAGGCTGCCCCAGTCTCACCCTCCTCATAGGGCATCGAGGTCGTTGCAGACAGACAAGCATGGAAAGCCAAGTCTCCTTTGAAATAGAGGGATGCAGAGGCGGAGGATCCACCTCCCCAGGTGCTGCCTGCTCCCAGCATGCACAGACACCAGTCCAGCCTTGGGACCACCGCCCCTAGCTGGTGTCCTTTGAAATAGAGGGATGCAGAGGTGGAGGATCCACCTCCCCAGGTGGTGCCTGCTCCCAGCATGCACAGACGCCAGTCCAGCCTTGGGACCACCACCCCTGGCTGGTACTCAGCTGCACCAGAGGTCAGTCCCTCCACATCCGAACCCCACTGGCACAGCACTGAGTTTGCTGGGGGCTCTCTCTTTTCAGAGGGGACGCCTCATGCTCCCCCCCGCACACCAGGATACTGCTGAGACACATCCATACAAATACAACTTCACCATATGGGAAAGGAGGCACAAAAGCAGGAGTTTAACTCTGCTACCTCCACAGTCTACGAGGTTAAAATTTCATCACTCTTGGGATGATGCTCTGAATTCACACCCCTTTTTCCTGAGACCTTCTAAATCGATGTCTCCAAGAGCACCAGGACTCCCATTGGCATCTCCCGTATCCCAGTGATGATGCAGAGTTTGTGCTAACATAAAGGGTGTCCTCTCCAGCAGGATGCCTGGGACTCACTGCACATCATCTTGACCAGTATAACTGGGCAGGAGCTGCCCTCTCACTGGGTTAGTAGCTGTGATAGACCTTTCTAGTTTTTCCAGGACGGATGAACTACCTGCTCTTTGCAGCACCCAAGATACATAAGCATGGTTAAGCCCCGCTGCATTGGAACCCTCCATCCCATCCTTTCCCTCCCTCGGTCTGGGGATGGCTTTGGGCAGCTGGTACCTGGAGTAGTTCGAAGGCAGCCAGCAGGTCCCCGGCTGTGGAGTTGCCCCGGTAGATCTGGTAGTATTCCAGCTGCGGGGGGAAGCGCGGTGGGCAGTAGTGCTCATCCGACATCTTCACCACTGGCTTGGCGAATGTGCGGCCCATGAAGTCAGCTTTGCCCTGGAGAGGTGAACAAACCCAAACACTTGGATTTGTTGACCCAAGGTGAGGTCTCCCAGGTTAGCCCCACAGATCTCCACATCATGGTCAGGGCAGGACCAGTCCACTGGGCCTGGGACACCAAAGTCACAGCTTTTAGGCCTGGCTTCTTCAAACTAGGTGCAGGAGGTGGCCTAGGGCTGGGAGAGCAAGGAGCCCAGGGCTGAGCAGCTTTTCTAAAGGGAAAGACCGAGGCCTCTTTGCCTCCAGCCTCACAAAAGCTCTTCCTTCACTCTCCAAAAATAGGTCATCATTAAGTTGAACCTGAGATCTAATGAGCAGCAAGGGCTGCTCATGGTATGGGAGATGGGGGTGGACCATCTTCCAAGGGTCAGGAGAAGAGCTGCTCCTCACATCCTCTGCCTTGCCTCTGACTCAGGAATGATTGCAGCATCATTTTCCTCTGCTGGGGTTCATCTTACCACTGTGTCCTGGTCATAGATCTCGATGACAATTATGGGAGGGTCATCCCGCATCTCATGAGCTTCTCCATACAGCTCCACGTTGTCGAAGACCAGCAGCTGGTCCCAGGTCGGGCAAAGGGTCTCATTGAGAACCTGGAAGAATGCGAAAGGGCCTTACCATTCCAGGCAGGGAATAATGTCCTGTGCAAGGGCAGCAGACAGGGCGCTGGTCTCAGTTTTCCTGCAACAGGATATTATCGGTGCTGGGGTGTGCGATGATTTGAATATATTTATCTTGGGCAGTGAGGACAATGCAAAGACTGTTATTTGTAGAATAGTCACCCCAGGTTTTCTTCATAATCAGCGGAAAGAGAGCAATGTTTTTAAGGTTCAGTGTGCCTTTTCCTAAGGTGTGTGGTTAAAATAGATGAGCAGCACTGTACCCCTTGGGGGTCCTTTCGTCTTCGCTGTTTACTAAGAGAGAGAGATGTGCTACAGACGTGCACACTGCAGCTGGCTGCAGTCGACTGGGTGTTGATGTCCTCCCCATGCAGCGCTTTGGTTTGCAGCTGTTTATTGGATCCTGGGGTAAAGGCAGCCAATGCTGTGCAGAGCTGATGGGCAGGAGATGGGACAGATCCACAGCAGGATCTGATGCCTGATCTGAACGAGGGGGAATTAAAGGTCTGCAATGCTCTGCAGATCCTGACCCTCGCAGCTCACAGTGTTCACCCCTCGCTTTGATGTTTCTATTTGCTCTGATTAACCATCTACTTTCTGTAAAATCAGGGTGGGACATTGGCCTGTGGAAGGGCAGCCACGGGGATGAGTTCTGGAGAATATCAGAAGGATATTGACCACTCAAAGCGAGTCCAGAGGAGGGCCAACAAGATGATCAGAGGGCTGGAGCACCTCTCCTATGACGAAAGGCTACGAGAACTGGGCTTGTTCAGCCTGGAGAAGAGGAGGCTCCGAGGAGACCTCATTGCAGCTTTCCAGTATCTGAAGGGGCTACAAGGGTGCTGGGAGAGGACTTTGTACAAGAGCCTGTAGTGATAGGACAAGGGGTAATGAGTATAAATTGAAATCAGGGAGGTTTAGATTAGATGTCAGGAAGAAATTCTTCACAGAGAGGGTGGTGAGGCACTGGAACAGGTTGCCCAGAGATGTTGTGGATGCCCCATCCCTGGATGTCTTCAAGGCCAGGCTGGATGTGGCTTTGAGCTACCTGGTCTAGTGGAAGGTGTCCCTGCCCATGGCAGGGGGGTTGGAACTGGATGATCTTTAAGGTCCCTTCCAACCCAAACCGTTCTATGATTCTATGATTCTATGAGAATGAGGACATCCCTGGCCTGTCTCAGACGTGTGTCAGGCTGCAGGTCCAGTGCCTGGCAGCACTAGTGGGTTGCTGCATGTTTGGTTGGACCAGTGATCCATGGGGTGTCATCCAAGGACCCTTCTGAGAAAAAAAAAAACCAAAAACACCAAACCAAAAAAGCAACAACAGCAGCCAAGCAGAAATTATTCCCAGTACCCACCAGGCTTGCTAAAGCTTGGCAGCCCTCAGCATGGGAAAGGAAGACACATGCTCCACATCCACATGCTCCAGTATCTCCTAGCCAAGCAGGTGAATTGCAGCCAAAGGGATGTGGAATAGTGAGTGCTGGTGCAGGGGGACAACACCTTCCAGTGCCTGGGGGGGGCTACAAGAAAGCTGGGAGGGATTTTTCCCAAGGGCAGCGAGTGACTGGACAAGGGGTAATGAGTTTAAACAGAAAGAGGGAGATTGAGATTGGACATCAGGAAGGAATTCTTCCCGCAGAGGGTGGGAGGCACTGAAACAGGTTGCCCAGAGAAGCTGTGGATGCCCCATCCCTGGAAGTATCCAAGGCCAGGCTGGATGAGGCTTGGAGCAACCTGGTCTAGTGGAAGGTGTCCCTGCCCATGGCAGGGGTGGCACTGGGGGGGCTGTGAGGTCCCTTCCCACCCAAACTGTTCTGTGATTCTATGTCGTGAAAGTGTCCCTGGGGAACAGGCTCCTGGAGATGCTCAAGCCTCGGTGCTGAGGCTGCTTTCCCACAGCAGGACCCCACAATCAGCCTAATCCTTGATTAACTAGCAGTCATGAGACGTGTGGCAGGGGAGCATGATGGAGGGCTGATGGGACATGCAACATCAGAGCCCATCCCATCCCTCCAGATCAGGAGATGCCATTTACCTCAGTGCATTGGCTCTGGGAGATGAAGAAGACTCGTGCAAAAGGGTCCGAAAGGCCACTGCTGTCGGCTGCAAATAAACTCCTGGCTTGGTACATGTGGGCTCGCAGCTGGAAAACCTGCTTCTCTGCAAGAGAGAAATGAGACAGCTTGATACGTAACCGTGGTCTCAGCCTGCAGAGCGGGGTCTCAGGGGCTTTTCCACAGGTCCAGCACTGATGAAGGAGACAGGCTCAAAGTATGAGTCCCAGATGGATACGGACTTCCTCGGCATCATGCTCCCCATGTGCAGAATGACAGCTATGAATGGGGTAGGGAAGAGGGTGCACAGTTCCCACAGTCCAGCTCCCCATGGGAGCAGTGTGGGACCTCAGGCTGGGACAACTGGAATTATTTCCCCCTTAGCTCCTGGAAGCCCTTGGCCCAAGGGGTGTCCAGGCAGGCTCCCTCCTGCCCTCTCCATGTCCTGTCCCCAGACCCACTGCAGGCAGGAAGCTCTTACTGGTGTAAAGGAGGCTGATGGGTGGAAAGGACGGCAGGTTTTGGCCTCTGGCTGTCTTCTTCTCCTCAAAGCCACAGGGCAGGCCACTCAAGAAGTCTTTGCGCTGTTTGTTGAGGCCCAGCCACAAGTACATCTCCATCTTGGCCTGCACTGTCCAGCCCGCGGGTCCAAAGCCCCTCTTCCCAGGTAGCTGGGCACAAAGATGGAAGAGTTTGTGTGGATATAGGGAAGGCCTTAGAGATGGGCAGACCACCTCTTGCAGCATTCAACTCCTGGGGCACCATTTGAACTGCTGCCCCTTAAAACCAGGGACCCAGCCCTCAACATTTTGGATCATGACACTACTCTGGCTCATACATTATCTTCTTCCCACCATGTTGGCTTCCTCTTTCTAAGCTAGCATCCTCTTTTGTGGCCAGCTGGATCAAATCTCTCTCCTTCCCAACACTTTTTTACTCACCAGACTGGGTAAGACCAGTGGTTCACACTTCCTAGCAGGAGACTTCCACCCTACCATTAGAGGATGGGTCTGTTTGCCTAGAATTCTAGCCCCAGCAAAACTGGGTACACAGCACTCTCATCTTCATCTCCCATCCTCCCTCTCTGTCCTTCTTCCACCTCCCTCCTCTTGGCTGTAGTTCCCCCAGGAAAGACAGACTGGCACCTTGAGGAAGATGGTCTTCACTTTGGCGCAGTCCTTGCCCATCTCCTCATCCACAATGGAGTAGAGGATATCCTTGGAAGGGATGCGGGCGTAGGCAATGCGCTTGTTGTTGCTCATCATCCAGATGAAGATGTCAGGAATCGTGTGCTGGGGCTGTGGATACCAGCAAAGAGCCCTGTCAGTGTCTCAGCTCTTTCTGCCCACTGAGGCACCAGTGGGGCTGGAGACCTTCTGAAGACAACTTCCACAGGTGCCCGAGGAGATGGATGTACCTATTGCTGCATTAGGACCATAGAACTGGTTTTGAGCCTCTCACTGCAGAAACTTGTCTGCTCAGAGCTCAGCTCAGCAGGGTGAAACCTCCAGGAAAGAAACTGGGGTTTACATTTGTTCTGGTTTTTAAAAAAAGTGGATTAGAAGACTAACGGTTTTCCTTTTTCATACAGTGACCATGGGGACTGTAGGCTGGGGGCAATACCTTCATTCCTTACTATGGAAGAGGTTCCCTGTCTGGACAGGTCCCATCACACCTTACAGTCTGGTTTATGTTCTGCTGAGGTGAGCCAAAGCCAAGGAAGGCCTTGCTGTCACAAAGCTGAGGCTGGGAGCCTGCCATGGGAAATGAGAACAGGAGGTGCAACAACTATCGCTCCCACGAGAGCCAGTAACCCCCAATGGCTGACCCCATCTGAAACTGCAAAGATATCTGAGGAAGGGTGTAATTTTCTGAAGGAAAAAAAAGAAAAAAACCCTATTTTGCAGGTATTTGGAAAATATTTGGGAGGCATGGAGGTAGGCTTGGGGTGGATTCTTACACAAGACCTGTGCTACCAGGGAGCTCTCCTGTCTGCAGGGTTCGCAGAGGGGTCTCCCTCCCTCCCTCCCTCGCTGTTGTTACCGTGCACTGACCCAGCCAACACCGTTTCTACATGTGGAGGGACTCACCTCGTCTGCCAAGAACCGGAGTTTCTGCAGGAAGTTTTGCACCAGCTTCAGCTTGTCTTTCATGGTGTTCTTCTTCACCTGCGAGCGCAGAGTCGTGGCTTGCTGCCCCATGTTCTCCTGCGGTTAAAGGGGAGCCCAGGACAGCACGTGAGCCAGAGCAGAATGGAGCACAGGGAGGGGAGCAGCACCAGGCAGGTGCCCGGCGCTTGGGAAAGGGTGATGAGGTGGCAGACACCTTAATCCCACCACGTGCATGCCAGAGCAGAATGGAGCACAGGGAGAGGAGCAGCACCAGGCAGGTCCCCAGAATTTGGGAAAGGGTGGTGAGGAGGCAGACGCCTTAATCCCCACATGCACCCTGGTAATGGTACTCTGACACTGCTTGTTAACCTTGGCAGGATGCAGGGAGGGCTCCCGACACTGCAGGGACATCTGTCCCAGTGGAAGGTGTATAGAACAGAGGTGTCAGCTGTGCTTAGGGCATTTTGGGGTGGCTTCTAGCCTGGTATTAAGGATAGTCTCACCCCTTCTGCTGACCCTGCTGTAATTCAGCTAGCCCCAATATCTAGGCCACATCTATCCCTGGAGCAGCTGTGCTCTGCAGGGTTCCCCTAAATTACTCCTTCCTGGTGTCCTCAGCTCTTTGACAGCAACGTAACTCCTCTATACACATGGATTTCTTTCCAAGGCAAAACGGAATTTGGTGGAGGGGAGGCAGCAGCACAAACCACCACAAGACCCAAGTGGTGTTGGACTCCTCTTCAGAAATAAACCTCAAACTTTCAATTCACAGGGACTGGAAATCAGCACTCCTACGGCCCAAAGTTCCCCATTGCATTGACAAGGTCCAACCCCCGCTCATGAATCCTCCTCCCTGCTTGTCTGAATCCCACTTACCAGCTCCCGCATGCATGACTTGAGTCTTTCCCGGTCCAGCCTCGTGCGGGAAGAGTGGTGCTGATCCTTGTCAGCCAATGTCACAAAGTGCCTGGGGGGGAAAAGGTCACAGCATGACCCCATGGGAGCCCGTGGGCTGTCCCCAAGGAGCCATGGCTGGCTGGATCTCTACCAGCATGAGACCACCTCACTGGGGGGAAATGTCCTGGCTTCCTGCAGTCTGCAAGGCAACTGGGACCAAGTGGCCTGGTTGCACCCAGTGTTGAGTGTCATACACCGGGAGTAGGTGCCAATCAGGTACCAGCCTGTGGGTCCACAGGACCAAAGCTTTCTCCATTGATTTGGGGTCTTTGAGATGCAGGCGTAAGCACCACCTCACCCTCAATCCAAGCCAGAAGGAAGCTGATATGGCATTGTGCCAACGTAACCGAACACTTGCCCATCAACCAGAGGATGAGGCCAATGAGCTCATGCTCGTGATCCTGCCCACAGAGAGCAGGGATCTGCAGCGTGCCACCTTCACCCATCTTTTACTCACAAGCATCCACTGCTCAGCTCCTCCAGAACCCCTCGGAGACGGCGCTCCGGGTGTGGCTTCTCCGTCTTGATCATTTCCTGCACGTCGTTGAGCCCTTCCTCCTGCAGCAACAAGCGAGGGAAGCGGTGAGGGGGTGGTGGGGCAAGGTCTCCCTCTGGGGTCCAACCAATAGCAAACATCTGCTGCTTCTCCAGACCTCAGGGCTCAGGTCTGGCATACATTTGGGCAGGGACATGGCTCTGGGTGATGGGGACGGCCCCACCACCCTCCATGGGACTCGTTGGCCAAGGTCTACACCGTTGTGGCCAGACCTGCCAGGCTCTCCCTTTGCAGATCCTGCTGTGACCTGCCAATGTGGAGCCATCACAAAGGCTCCTTGGAATTAGCTGAGACTATTAAGGAGGCTCTGCCACACAAGTCCAGGGGACAAAGCCTCCCTGCTCATGCTCCCCTTAGTAATGGCCCCTGGGTTTGAGCCACAGAAAATTCAAAGAGCTCCTAAGGTTTGAAGCATTTAGCACTGGGAAAATTGCCCCTTTCTGGCACAAGTTTGCTAGTGGGTCCCTGCACTCTTTGTCCCTGTTTTGTGACAAGCTGCAGAGCTGCAGAACATGCAGAGATGTGCCCCATGCCCCAGGTTGTCTCCCTCCCTCCGTCCCCACCACGTATTGACCAGCTTGTCCGCAATCTTGTCCATGATGTTGGCATTATACAGCCTGCGGCGCTGGTCCTGCCACCAGCTCTTGATATAGATGCAGGGCTTCTTCTCGAAGTACGGCAGGTGGAAGTAGTTCCTGCAAGAAAAGGAAGGGGACATGCTCCATGGTTGTAATGCTTGCAGCCAGGAACATCCCTGGTCCCACAACTCTTCCAGGAAGGCCACGCTGTGGTGGGGAGATGGATATATAAGAGGTCAGGCATGGGAGAGAGGGGTCTGAGATGGATTGCACCCTGTATTTCCAGCCAGAAGATGTCATCAGAGCCCCATGGTTGAGCATGAGGCTCCCAGCACCCAGGGGATAGAGACAGGGGGGAGAGAGCATGAGCCCAGGGGAGACATTTCCCTTGACAAGGAGCTGGTGAACAAGTGAGGGAACCCAGGTAGACACTTTTATCTGGAGTTCAAATACCATCCATTCACTGAGGTTTGTTTCATTTCCCATTTGAATTAAGTCAGGCAGCTAATTCTATTAACATCTATCTACTGGTGTAACACGGTTAAAATCCACCTTACACATATCTCATCAGGTTAAATCCAATTAGCTTTCCTTAGTGCTAGTCCTTTGTATTCAAATCCAGGCTGTGGCTGAAGCCCAGCTCAGACATGCTGAGACACGTGTGTGATCCTGTTCAGTTTGGGGCTTTCTGATCTAGCTGTCTGGGGCAGAAAGCACCCACAGAGTCACACTTGCAGCTGTCTGGATCTTGTCTGTATTTTAGGGTGGCTGCCACCCACACAGCACAAAGCAATTAATAACACATGCAAAAAAAAAAGAAATTTGCCATAATTTTACAGGTGGAGAAACTGAGGCAGAGAAAACAAGTGATTTATCCACTGACAACCAACTGTGCATCGGCAGACCCAGGGTAGGACCCATTTTCCTGAGCTCTGGTTCAGTTAAACCCCAGAGCGTGGCTGTCAATGACTGTAAGCAATGGGGACAGACAGACTGACCAAAACGCTGCAAACTGGAAAGATGGAGAGGTTGTGGATGCCCCATCCCTGGAAGTGTCCAAGGCCAGGCTGGATGAGGTTTGGAGCAACCTGGTCTAGTGGAAGGTGTCCCTGCCCATGGCAGGGTGTGGCACTGGGTGGGCTTTAAGGACACTTCCAATCAAACGATTCTATGATTCTATGATTTTAAGTATTTTACCCCAATCTCCTGCCTAACCCATTCTCAAGAACTTCCAGCAGCTGCCTGTGACCTTGTCTAGCTTTTACGATCCCAAGGGATGAAGAAATGCACCTTGTACCAGCACCAGTTACCCTCACTGCCGAAAGCTATACCTTATCTCGAGACGGACTTTGCCTGTCTCCACATGGTGCCCACGATGTCCTTACAGGTCGAGCACCTGGAGAGAGCAGAGATGCAAAGCCCCAACCCCTCTTCCCTGAGGTGCAGTACTGGGTTGTGCCACCAAGCCTGGCAGAGCTCCTAGGGAAGGACCTGTTTTTAGGCAGGTTCCCTAAATGTACAAAACTTATGTACGAGTGTGAACCTCTTTTTCCAGTGCCCGCCAATTGTTTTAATCCACTGGTTAACTTCATCCCTATTTGCCATAGGGGAAGGGCGCTAAAGGTATCAGGTAGCCATGAGTTTTGGGTGCGTATCTGGCCAGATGGATGAAGGATTTCCTTTGTAGGGTAGCCTGGGAGGTAAATGCAGCCCTTATTGGACATCAGAGAATCCACAGGCGTACTCAGAATAGTAGGGAATGGGATGGATGTTTAGCTGGCAGACTACAGAATCACAGAAAGTTTTAGGTTGGAGAAGACCTCTCAGCCCATCCAGTCCAACCGTTACCCCAGCACTGCCCAGCCCCCACTAACCATATCCCTGAGCCCCACATCCACACGGCTCTGAAACCCCTCCCGGGGTGGGGACTCCCCACTCCCTGGGCAGCCCCTTCCAACCCTGACAGCTCTTTTGGGGAAGAAAGGTGTCTAAGACAAGTTACCCACACATGGTATGTCATCTCATTCCAGTACCTGAAGGGGGCCTACAAGGAAGCTGAGGGGGACTTTGTACAAGGGCCTGTAGTGACAGGACAAGGGGTAAGGGGTTTAAATTGAAAGTGAGGAGGTTTAGATTAGATATCAGGAAGAAGTTCTTCACGGAGAGGGTGGGGAGGCACTGGAACAGGTTGGATATCGTCAAGGCCAGGCTGGATGAGGCTTGGAGCAACCTGGTCTAGTGGAAGGTGTCCCTGCCCATGGCAGGGGGGTTGGAACTGGATGATCTTTAAGGTCCCTTCCAACCCAAACCGTTCCATGATTCTATTCTATGATTCTATCTCCCTTTGCAGGGCATGGGGATCTGGTCCCCACTGCTGCTCCCAGGTCTGTTTGGAAAATGACTCCAGGCCCTCTGACTTCATCTCCGCAGAGGGAGGTGGGAGCTCGGACACGCAGCACACATGGCAACACCTACAGCCCCTGTCTGAACTGAGAGACACGTCTCTGCGCAGGGGCACTCCCGTGGCGAGGTGGGCAGGCTTACCTGTCTGTGACCAGGGGCTTCACGGGTTGAGATGAGGAAACAGAGACCAGCTCTCCATCCTCACCACCTTCATCCTCACTTGAGTTCTGGAGCAGCTCGGACTCCTCCTCATCCCCATCCCCTCCCTCTTTCTTCCTCCGTAGGATGGGTTTGGTCATGCCATCGATCTGGTTCCCATAGTTACCTCAAGAAAAAACATGTGAAATAAAGTCACAGGGTGGTAACTCCAGTCGGGCTCAATCTCTTGGCTTTAAGTCAGGT